CTACTACCCCAATGACAACGACAAATAGGAGAGGACAAAGAAAACTATAAAAGTGAAGTTCCGAAGTCGTGTGATTTTAATTGATTGGAATAATTATGAACAGCAATAATGAATTTTGTTCGAAACTGTGTCATCCAGTATATGCTAGCACTGTTTCTGTGACTGTGGGATACATCTAATAAACAAACTAATATGGAAGATTGACTCAATGAACATTTTGACACGCACGTAGGTCTTGATGAGGCTGCCTTTAGGTAGCTACTTTTTCAAAATACTTTGTGTAGATAGGTGGTGTCTTTAGTTGCATTGTCCCACAGCGACGTCTTTCTCTTTTGGACAAAGTTCCTATGTATCTGTTTTTGTTCTCGCTGTAGTATGACAATCAGTCGGTAGGAAGCCTTGAACGTAGGTTTCGCACTAGTTGGCGTGAATAACTCAGTGCCGGTAACATATCTAATTGCAGCACTGGCTCAGAAGGGATATGAGCTTCCTGAAGTTTTTAGGTACCCCCTGCTGACTGGTGAGTGTCAACTAGCACAAAATCTAGGTCAAGGTAGGAAGGCTTCCTGCTAATTATCTCCAACCATCTAGTATCACCAAAGCGATGTGTGCACCATGATGGTGAGCTAGCCACCTATTGCCATGGTGGCCACATTGCAAACCTGACTGACTTCCTGATAGAATTCAGTCTTGCACCAAAGAAAGGATTAGACACATCACACTAGTTACTAACTAGTATCCAGTCAAAAGTCATTTAGAGGTTGTGTACTCCTTTTGTTTTAACTTGAAATTGTAGAAGTCAATTAAATTGTTTGGAAACTTTGATACCGCTTTTTTGTTCTTAATGAGACTCACCAATAAACAATTTTCATTGCCCGAGTTCCTTGCTGTGTTAGTCCTTTCAGGTCGGTCGTCTGGTCTTCAGTATTGAGGAAAGACACTTCAATTTGAATTCAAGTGAGCTTTTAGATTTCTCCACGAGCTTATTAATCGTCTCTCGTGGTCGATGATCACCTTGAACGTGACTGGTTGTTTTCGTGTGTTTTCACACCTTCTAGGCTGCTTGTATCGATATTGGAACTGATTAATTCTTTGACTTAAGCTTTGAACCTTCTACACCACCCCTTACTTACTTATATTTTCAACCCTCTCTTATCATCCCTTAATCTTATCTTCATTATAAACGTGTTTCATTTCCGTCCCTTACAATCTAACATTACGTAATCGGTTCATTTGTTTTTGCTAGCCTTTATCGACTACTATGTCGACCTGAAAATTTGTTTGCTTAATCATGCTGTTTTTCATCAGTATTCGTGTTATCACAGATTGCCTCACTTTTTCATCCTTATTATTGATAAAACCATCATTATTACTATTATGACTAATTGCACAATTTATATTCACCATCTTATCACCACCTATAGACAAAACACCATGATAATTGGTTTATATTTGAGTTTTTATTTGTAAAGTTCCTTGTGCTGAGTAATAGCAGACGATTTCCAAACTGGTTTCAGGTTGATGAAGGCGTGCGTATCTTGCTTGTCCTTCCGATCCTGGCTGGCTTTGAGATCTTCATCCCTTCCAATTGACTGTGGTTGAACCGATGTTGCCTAGCCAGATAAGTGAAGGAGGCGACCTCTAATAAATCTCTCTCCTGTTGATGGTGGTTGGTGCTGGTTGGTGTTACTGCTGTTGATTTGTCATCTTCATCACCCCCAGTATTCTCTGTGTTCACCTGGATGAACTGTTTTCGCTGCCTGCTTCTGCTGCTAGTTTGTTGGTTTTCGCTTGGCTCTACATCTTCGAGTTTGTGTAACACTGAACATAAATCATCCGCACGCAATATCCAGATCTACTAGAGTCCTGTTATCGGTGGCCAAGTGTATTCCTGTCTCCTAGCACCCAACGCACAGTCTCACGCATAATCCAGTCCACCACAATTAGGAATATCATCGGTGATACTAGGCAGCCAGCCAGCTTGTCTTACTCCTGTATTCACTTCGGAAGCCTCGCTGAGTTCCCCGTTGTGGATCACCTGACTGACACATGGCATTGTCACACAACCAGCTGTTCAGTGAGGTTGATAAAGACTTGGGTACTGCACTCCATAGTGTTGAAGTAGTTTCCAAATTACTCCTTGGTCAACGATGTCTGTCGAAGGCGTCTTTTCGAAGTCGAGGAAGTTGAGGTGGGGATTTGACTACAACTCTTTGCTTTGTTCTGTGATGATGATGACAGCTATGTGTAGAGTTGGAATCTGACCGGCACATGATTTGCCTTTCCTGAATCCAGCCAGCTTGTTTCGGTGAGGCTGTCAGAGTTCTGCATCCAATGCAACTTTTGTTCTCTACACGATGACGTGATTTAATGTTTTGTACTTGGCGTAGGCATGAGCATTATTCCACGCCAGTTCTTGCACAGGCCTAATTCGCCCTTCTTTGGTAGCTTGACAAGGTAGTCAGTCTTTCTCTCAATAGGTTGGTACCTTTCCCTCCACCCAAAACTTTCACAATAATGGCGTGAGCACATATGCTACAGTCTTTGGCTCCTTTTTTAGTGCTTCGTGATTGGGGAATTCCGTCTGTTCCCACTGCCTTTCCAGACGGACTTCAGTAGCTTGATCACACTCAGGATTTCTGCTCTCGTTGGAGGATTGGTGGCCACTGGCAGGTAGTGTTATTTCTGATCTGGTTGCAGGTGATGGTCGATTCGAGAGTCATTTGAAGTGATCATCCCATTGTTTGATTTGTTTTTCCTCCTTGGTAAACAGGTTCCCTTCAACGTCTTTTATTGGTGTAATCATCTGGGTTGATCTCTACCCGGATAGAGACCTGGTTGTCTGATATAATGTTCCTAGGTCTCTTCGGCCTGTCTGCCTTCAGTTGACGCCAGTCAGTCTATCGTAGAATTATAGTTGGTGTCTCCTAGCACTCTTCCTCACGTCTTTCTTGATTCAGTGCAGGGTACATTGAACTCATCTCCTCCTTTTTCTGTTGTCCATCTTTGCATTGAGTCATCTTCTCTTTCAAAATCCTCCTCTCCTCTCTTCTATTAGCTTACAGGTAGGCGTCTGTTGAGAGCCATTCCTCGTTGTGTCTCTTCTTTTTTCACAGAACAGTTGTACACGTTTCCATTGAACATCACCTTCAGAGAGTCAGTTCCAATGTTCTTTCACACAGGTTTCCTCATTGATGCCACGTTGTGTCTCCGAATTCGCTGTGATCTGATATGTAGTGAAGACATCCCTTGTAGTTTTGTCCTTCAGTTTCTGAATGTTCAACTTGAATTACAGTGACGAGCCTTCAGTTTTTCTGAAGGATTTCAGTTTCAACTTGAAAGTTCCTTGAAATAGATGATGGTCTCAGCCAACATCTGCTCCCCTTCTCGACTTTGTCTCTAGCACACTGGCTGCGTCTCCACTCCCTTGAGCGATGTTGTTATGAAATCTGTTTGGTTCATGGTGTGTCCGTCATGCAAAATCAATTTTGCTTTGTATATAAGCTTGTGCTTTTACATACTGCCTCTCATCATCAAATAATTGACATAGCAGAAGTCTGCGAATAATTCCTCGTTTGAATTCATTTCCCCAAGCGAGTGCTACCCGAACGTGATAACTTCTCTTCCTGTCTTATCTGCTCTCAGTTTGACTTCCATTCATAACGCCCATCAGGATTTGGATATCAACATTTGAGATATTGCCCACATTATTTGTAGTTGTCTGAAAATTATTCCCTCTTCACTTGTTCTGTGTTGTTTGTAGCACTGTTCGTAGTATTGGATAATTGTTCCTTCTTTCCTTTTCAGTTGGATCTTACTGTCAAAATGCTGCGGGAAGAAATCGGTTCCCACTGCATTAGGGCTTTAGCTACCATTAATAACATACTAATAGCAATATTCATTCTCTGAAACATACACAGGATGATGTCGAGCTGCATGGGCCATTAGAAGGATTCAATGCATTCCCCCTCGAATCTTATATGCATAAATTCCGACGATGCGTGCACTGTTGATATTCTGTGGCTAAAATCAGTCAGCTTAGCGTTATGTTGGGCACGTTTGCCTAATCAAAACTTTCGGGGTGTGAAGCATTTATCGAAAGAAGCTGGTACTAAGACCTTTGATTAGTTCACCATAGGAAAGATGACATATCTGAACACCACCTTTGATAATCTCCTCTGGTAGAAACAGTGGCCTAAACAAAAAACTTTCTACGAATAGTGATCATGTGAGCGTGAAGGTTCAAATGAAAGTTTCCAGTAATTGTGTGGTGAAAGCTGTCTGCTAGCCAAATTGTTAGACAGTAATTTACGTCAATGTGTTTATGTCCCAAATATTGGTCATGAGAAAAGAGCAAGAACAAAGGCCGATTCAACAACCGATCACAGCCGACTTTCTGTAGGCCGATACAATTAGCAGGTAGCAGATGATCTGATCTTCAAGAAACAGTCACAAAGTGAAACAACCACCAATCAGAAGACTGTGGTGTTTGTCTGCTAACATTAATCGATAATAATGTATGTCCATGAAAATCTATAAATATCTGTTGATTTCGTAAATAAACGATCTGTTGACTGGCTGGCCTTGTCTTCTGTTGTTACAATATAACAACACAATGTTAGTTTGTATATTAAGTTTACCTATTGAAAAGCTTAAATTATTCCGAAGTTCACAATATCACGTGGTATTTAGAAATGATTGCAACAGTGTTGACAGAATCTCATCGAAATACTCTCTCCGAAAATGACAATGAAAGCATTTACCACATACATATATATATTTACTATCAAATACTCGAATATATATGTATAAATATTTCAAAATTTCTCAGTTCTTTAGTCTATGTAATAGAAGATCAGTGTTCTGAAGTACAAAACTTAAACACTCTGATTGTGAAAAAGTCATATCGATATATAAAAAAAGAAAATAGAAAATGGATGGGAGCAGACACACGCACGCACACACACACACAGAATAACACTAATATGTCTATCTTTGATCTATCGAATATCGCACAGTAGAGCTACACCTCTCAAAACCCAATGATCCGTTGGCTTGTTAGGCGGACAACGTAAATACAACGAGGTGACATAAGTACGATCTGTCCTACACGGTTTTCTATACACTGGACACACATAGAAGTTTTTCAGCATCTCCTTGGGTATCTCTTTATCTTTCGCAATATCCATAGCTTGTATATGAATCACAGGCATTGACTGATATAATATTTTCGGTTTAGCCTCTGTGAGTCGTAGGTTCTTCTGATCGAATTCTGCACCTTCTAAAAATAGGCCATAGATATATGCACCTTCGGCTGGAGGACGTTGGGGAATATCATCTTTCATAAATCTGGTCACCTCATTCCATAGCACAACTGTATCTAATGCCCAGCCTTTATGCATACGTGTCACCTCTTGTCGTATGGCGGTAAGAAATCCTTGAGGGTTGAAGAATCCCGTCATCCAAAAGCAAGTTGGTCGGCCATTGTACAACCATTCGTGGAATTGATGATTTCTTTCAATTAATTCGGTGAACCAAAATCCTAGCGTCGAGGATTCCCATGATAACTTCAGGATGGGGTTGCGGGGAAAAAGAGAAAAAGTAAACGAATGTACAAGATTTTTAGATAAAGAGAAAATTCAAAGTCATACATGGATTCAAACAAATGTTTCTTTATTTATTTATTTATTTATTTACAATCAAAAGTAAAAGTAACACAACGGACAATTTACTCACTCATTTCCTACGGACGACTGGAAGTAATTCACATATTTAGAAAGGGAGGGAGAAGCTCAGCACACTAATGAACTGAACTGATAATAAAAAATTTGATTTTCTTGACAACAAAACTTACAATGAACTCAAGTCAAAGAGTGGACGACTCCTATTTAAATGTACGGTCTACCAGAAATCCATAAGGCCAATGTGCCCTTAAGACCCATACTATCAATGATAAACTCACCATGCCACAAACTATCCCGATGGCTAGCTGATTCATTGGAGCTAATTCAACAGAAATTTTCAAATCACAGCTTGGATGACACCTTCCGATTTTCTAAAGAAGTCGATCACGTTGACATATTAAATAAACTAATTGTGTCATACGATGTGACTGCCTTATTTACAAATTTACCAGTGATGGAAACAATAGATATCATTTGTAAACAAAGAGATCTATTGCCATTACTGGAGTCAGAGTTGAAACGGCTACTAATTCTTTGCACAAAAGACATCCAATTTAGATTCGATAACGAATTCTACCAACAAACTGACGGGGTCGCCATGGGCTCACCTCTAGGACCTATTCTAGCAGACATCTTCATGGGATATCTCGAACAGACGCGATTGAGTGACGCCATCAATGAAACAGCATACTACCGTCGATACGTCGATGATACTTTTGTTGTTTGTAACGACATGAATCAGGCATCCGTATTATTTGACCGCCTAAATGAGGTCCACCCAAACATTAAATTCACCATGGATTACGAACACAACGATGAGTTCAATTTCCTGGACCTAAATGTAAAAAGAAGAAACGATGGAACCGTCGAAAAGTCCATCTACAGAAAATAAACTTGGACCGGAAAATACCTTCATTATAACAGCTTCTGCCCTATGAGCTATAAGCGGGGATTAGTAAGGATATTGTACAAGAGGGCCAGGAAGTTATGTTCGCCTAACAAGGTAGAAGAAGAATAAAGCTTTTTTCAAAAATGCTTTCTCTAAGAAAACGGGTATTCAAAAGGATTTATCCTAAAGTACAGCGAGGAAACAGATGAGAAAGAGAAGCATCCAACAGTTGAAAAGAAGAAAGTGTTCATTTGACTCCCATACAAAGGAGAAACAGTATCGCAAAAGATTGAAAAGAGGATGAAGGGAGCAATAAAGAGATGTTTCCCTGCAGCCAATCTGGTGACAGTATACAGTACTACATGCTCTATAAGCCAATCGAAACTGGGTAAGTACTCTGCTGATGTTACCTCCAACTGCATTTGTAAATTTACGTGCACCTGCGGCAGCAAATACATTGGAAGGACAGAAAGAAGGGCTTTTATCCGGTCTTCAGAGCATATTCCAAGAAACTTGTGCTTAAAAGGAAGCAGATATTTACAAAGTGCAATTACCAGACATCTCGGGGATACGGGTCATTTTATCGAGATTTCCAAATCTTTCGATATATTAAACATACGAAGGGCAGTAAATCTACTACGATTTGCTGAAGCAGTTGCAATCACACGTTTCAGACCAAACTCATGCACACAGAAAGAGACTGAAGTCAATCTCTCAATCACTCCTTTGGTAACCATATCACTTTCATTACACTGATTAGTCATACAGACTATAGGGGTCAACTCACTACGCAAGTTTTCAAATTGATGAAATTTGACCTTCTTGAGTAGCCATGTTGATACTGTTTATTAGATTTATCTGTCTTCTCTCACTTGTCCCTCCCTTTTTTAATAGTTTGATAGTAGATAAATTGATGGTAACTTAAACTAAAAATTCTAATGCTTATATTCCAGATGCGTTCACCTTATAATGTTTTTCCTATTACCTTTCAAACAATGAAGTATGAAATGTTATTATTATTTATAACCATTGTAATTTCCTGTAGTTTGCAGTTGATGAGAACCTGTGAAATAGAATGATGATATCATTTTATACTGCAAATCTGGTCTATCTTTCTCTATCGAAATTTATCAAGGGAACCAAACGTATGAAATTTTCTAAACACTTTCTTTCATCTTTGTTCACTGCACATCTGTCATCTAAATATCTAATTCGGAACTGCTGGTCCCTAAGCAACAAGGCAACATCATTTAGTCTAAGTTTTCAAATATCTTTTGAATTTTAATAATATCCGGACATTTCATACTGTCACATGAAGAAAACCATTCAGCCCCCGGGGCTGGTAGAATGCTCGCCAACCATGCATTTGTTCACCCTTTGATTCCCAGCTGACGCACTCCTAAACCTAGTCTAACCAACCCCATAAAAAATTAACGCTACCAACACTTCAAAGCTTAAACTGTTATACTTCACTCAGAATTCAGAGAAATGGAAAGGACAAACTAGGACGAAATAGCTAGTTGTTCAGTACTCCCAGTGGCGGGTTTTTCAATGGTTCTCTAACCAACTGATGTCAGCTCATGATGAAACCTTGTAACCAATACTTGAATATTATTAAAATTCAATTTCACAGTTGTCCAGCACAGCAAGACATTCTACTCTGAATTCGAAATACACGCACTACATATGTGTCTAAAACTATGCTCACTATGCTAATCCAAATTATTTTATTACCATAATAGGTGGGGGTGGGGTTGAGTGGGATATACCAAATGGTTAATGATTCTGAAACTGTAGTCACTCTAGAATTCCTACTTGACTGTATAAAATCCTTTAAAAATAAAGGGGTGTATTTTAATAAAGACAATGTTGTGCACCTCTTAGGTGTGTCTCACCAACTTGCTCACTGAGAACAGCTCACTAAAGGAATAACTTTCAAAACCTTGATAGAGAGTTAAATGATAATCTTTAAGCGACACTGTCAACGGGAAAAATTTGAAGCAAGTCAATTCTTTCATTTATCTAGGCAGCGTTGTTTTAACTATAGGCAGTATGAAATGAAGATGTCAATTCCAAGATCGGAGAGGTAAGACACATACGCACCTTCATTATCCTGAATGCAGTGTGGAAATCTCTTATACTCAGCAATAAGAGACAATTGTCAGATTTTCAACACGCCAGTGTATATAATTCCATATTAGTTTGTTTATTAGATGTATCACAGAGTCACAGAAACAGTGTGGTGGACATGTGTAGATGACACATTCAATGTACTTAGAACACAGGATATATAGATAGATTTCTCAAACACGTTAACTAACTCAAAGGTGGAGGCAATTCAATTCACTTATGATAAATTGGAAAGTCAGGAAGCTGGGGAGCTTCCAATGTTAGATTGCAGTGTACAAAGGAAAGAAGATGGAAAGTTAAACACACTAGTGTGTGTGTGTGTGTTTACAAGAAACTCACACATTCTAACAGATGCATTGGGACTTCCGATCATCCCATCCTATGTCAGTAAAAAGAGGATTGGTGAAGTGTTGAATAGAAAATAGGGCACAAAAACTGAGTAGTGCGAAGGAAAATCTAAGACAGGAAGTGAAACATATAAGAGAAGCCTTGAAACTTGATTAATAATTACCTTGATAAATTAGTCAGAAAGCATGTAGGGAAATGTAAAAATAAATAATGATAGTAGTGATGGTGATGATAATATTAATGGCGATATGCATGTCAAAAATGCGTGAGACAGACTGGCCGAGCAAAAAAACCTAGCAAAATCTAGACTGGTTGACCCGAATAAGATAAGAAATCTAGAGAATAGTTTAGCAGCTATCGCAAGCACTACATGCAGTTACACACAACCATACAATAGACTGGATGGGATAAGATGACAGTCTTAAAATGTAATTTCCCAGGGTGTAGGGAAGGAGAGATTGATAACAACGGAAGCTTTGTTTGTCGAATCAACTGAGAGTGAGTACGTGTAAGGGGAATGATTCAACACCTGTTCACCCAGATATCTGGAAAATTCCACTACCTCAATGATGACGACAAATAGGAGAAAATAAAGAAAACTATAAAATCCATGTTTCGAAGTCGTGTGATTATAATTGATGAAATGATTATGGACAAGAATGAATTTTGTTCGAAACTTTGTCGTCGAGTTAAAACTAATACTGTTTCTGTGATTGTGTGATACATCTAATAAGCAAACTAATATGGAATTACTTAATACCACTACAGTGGCCAAATCTTACATATTTATTAACTAGTGTATGTACTTCAGGGACTTGGAGTGTCATCAGAAGCAGTATCTAACAGGCGACAGATTTTTATCAGTACCCTGCCTTTACTGGATCCATACTGAAGATGAGATGGCCAGAAAAAATTGGCAGATGAGGAATTCTGAGAATGAACTAACCAAGAACCTATTGGCCAGGAAATATCTCTAATACTGAGGAGACCGCTGAATCACACTTATGTCAGGCAATCGAGTGGAACCCGAGTAGAAAATAACGAGTGTGCTCGAGGGTGACATGAGGAGAACCTTGTCAGGAGGAAATGAAAGTCTATAGACAGTCGTGGAGCCAGATGAAGGGAGAACTACACACAGGAAGGGGGTGAAGTGACAATGTACTGTCGAAGCCCTGTGTTCGAATAATATTATAATCTTATTTTCTATAGTTTGATTTGTAAAGGTTAGTTTTGTTTTTACGAGCTGATCACGGATTGATAGCAGTAAGAAAACCATTGGAAAACCAGTCACAAGGAGTACTGGACAGCTGTTTTATCCACCTAGTTTGGAAATCATCGGTAGTACGCACCCACCACAGGGGGTAAAAACCCAGGACATTCCGGTTACAAGGCACGCTAGCTGGCTCGTATACCATTCAGCCACTGGGATTCAATGGACAGCCAGCCAGCCCATAAATTCTATCGTCTATCAATTTGTGATTCAGCGCTACCCCAACCAATGTCATCAGCGGGACATCCATCCTCACACTTGACTACTGGTTGGACCTCACTGGTCACGATTTCTCACTAGAGCCGATTCCAGGAAACTCCATCCTGTAGCAAGTCAGGCCACGTAGGTCCACCGGAGTCGTCTTTCAGCATCATCTACAAGGTAAGGCCAAACGGTGCAAAGAGATTCAGGTTTCGGCTCTTGTGTATAGCGGAGCCACTGGCGATTCGTCAATACAACCTCGAACTCTGTATACAGAAAACCTTTGTCAAGTCTCTTATTCTATTATAGTCTTAGCGCCTTTATTAGTCGTTCCCTGTACATTTTTAGTTTTACTTTTAGTTTGCTTTTGCTTGAATAATTAATTCACTGTTATATCACCCTCATATGTTCCCTGTAGTGCATTTTAACACCCTCTTCACACTTGTTAAATTGACACTCAACTGCCACCTTCATTCTCAATTACTCGATAGCAGTTTTAACCTTATCAAACTGCTATCTTTGTTCCGTTGAGTACCACATAATTTACAACTTTTAAAGTGCTTTTTACTTCTAAAGCCACTTCCGTGTAATTATATCAAGGATGTCACGCCTACCCCTATTACCCAATAATAGACCACTATATATTTTTTGGTAAGTATAAATACGACTGCACAGCTAGCCTGTGAAGATGATTTCGTCGATAAAGAAAGAAGCATTTTCTTCTCTGAATTTGTCTTTTATTTTATTCAAGACATAACTCTATTTTGACGATGACCTTTGGAAAAACAAAAAAAACCACTAACCATATAACTTCTAGAGATGAGTTGGCGTATCAGAATTCCAATCCAGTCAACAACGAAACCCATCATCCACTGAAACAGTATTATTTACTGGATGACGTTTCGAACAGAATTTATTGTTCATAATCATATCACCAATTATAATCACACGACTTCGAAACTTGAGTTTCATCGTTTTCTTTGTTCTCTCCTATTTGTCGTCGTAATTGGGGTGGTAGAATTTTCGAGATATCCGGCTGGACAGGTGTTAAATCATTCCTATTACATGTGTTGATTTGCAATTGATTCGAAAAACAAAGCTTCTGTTGTTATCGATCTCTCCCTCCTTCCACCCTGTGATATTAGATTTTAAAACTGTCATCTTATCCCATCCAGTCTATTGTATAGTTGTGTGTAACTGCATGTAGTGCTTGCGATAGCTGCTAAACTATTCTCTAGATTTCTTATCTTATTCGGGTCAACCAGTCTAGATTTTGCTAGGTTTTTATGTTTGGCTAGTCTGACTGACTGACTGACTGACTGACTGACCCTGTACTACTACTCTGACCTATGTATTTGATCTGACAATCATTCCAGCAGACAGCGTATTAGATAAATTAAATTGTTTTGTTTTAAAGGCTCCACAGGATTGATCCTTTCTTCCGACCGACAAGGCGTGTTTCTAATTGAGTTTGTGGTTGGTTTGAATTCCAGTTGCTTTTATTCCTGTCAGCCTTGTTAAGAATTCTGTGTATGGTGGTTTTCGAAGTTCCTTCCTTGTATGGAATTACTACTGATGATTTAGATTCCTTATTGTTTGTGTCGTCACTAATATTATCACTATTATTATTGTGATTATTAGTGTTATCATCATAATTATTATTATCACTATCACTACTATCATTATTTATTTTATTTTTTCTTTTCCCTACATATTTCCTGACTAATTTATCCGGATAATTATTAAGTTTCAAGGCTTCTTTTATGTGTATCACTTCTTGTCTTAGATTTTCCTTGGTACTACTTAGTTTTTGTACCCTATTGGCACTTAAATATTTCACCAATCCTATTTTTACTGACATACGGTGGATGGGATAATCAGAAGTCCCAATGGATCTGTTAGAATGTTTGGGTTTCGTGTAAACACACGCTGTTGTTTAACTTTCCATCTTCTTTCCTTTGTAGACTGCAATCTAACATTCCTGAATTTCCAATTCATCATCAGTGAATTGAATCGCCTCTACCTTCGAGTAGATGTGCTCGAAAAATCTATCGAATTTATCGAATCAACTGAGAGTAAATACGTGTAATAGGAATGATTCATCACCTGTTCCTGATATCTCGAATATTCTACTACCACGCGTACGAAGACAAATAGGAGAAGACAAAGAAACCTATAAAACTCAAGTTTCAAAATCGTATGATTACAATTGATGAAATGAATATGAACAGCAATAAGTTTTGTTCGAAACTGTGTCATCCAGTAAGTAATACTAATACTGTTTCACTGAATGTGTGTGATACATCTAATAAACAAACTATGGAATTGCTTACTACCACCACAATGCCAAAGTTTCACACACATATATTAATAGAAACTTATCAACATCAGGAGAATAACAATTCTAACTCGATGATGATATCCTGAAATTACAAAATGCATCTATATATATTACATGGAATCAGAGTAATCCACCTACCTTTGTCCACTGTTTTGGTATTCTCGCATCATACATACAGTCTAATGTCTGACGTAAATGTTCACTCATGACAACAGTACCATCAATAGCCAAAGTCAGATTAACAAGATCTTCTCGCATTGTTGTCAGCAAGAGTTGAATTCTATTCAACTCTTGACGTAGAAATATATTCATTGGTTGTAGGGCACCCATTTGATTTAAGCATTCATTCACTTCGAATTGTATATAATCCGGGGGTAATTTGTCCAGCAGATCCATAGCCATACGTCGGACAACATCTTCACGTGTCTCTGAGGCACCAGTATTCGCGTCTTTTGGTTGAACATTCAGGATACAGTCGAGAACAACTTTTGCCTTTTTACTTTGATATCTAAATGGTGATATAATTTGAAAGGAATAAAAAGAATATAAAATAAAGGTTATTTTTTGAATTGCATGGATGATTTCTTCATGAGCTGACATCAGTTAGAGAACCACTGGAAAACCCACCTGCGAGTACTGGACAGCTGTTTCCCCCGCCCTAGTTTGGGATGCCTCAGCAGTATGCACCCACCCCATTGGGAGTCTGAACCCAGGACATTCTCGTTACAAAGCCAGTGAGCTCGTAGGCCATTGAACCACTGGGACCCGATACTATGGTTCTTGAACTCTAACTCCTGCCAATTCACGACATAGCGTGACCATTTCGCAATATCTTCTTCGAAGAGTCACTGCGCAGTCTTCGACCTGCTGTACCCTACTTGTCACGGCTTCCCACTAGAACCCCGGGTTAACTGATGAAGAGTTCCAAACTAGGATGAAACAGCTGTCCAGTACTCCCAGTTAGTTTTCCAATGGTTCTCTAACCAATGTCAGCTCATGATGAAATCCTGTAAACCAATCAAATCCCTACAACCCAACACTTGAATATTAGAGAATTACTTATAAAAAATGGTTATCCAGATAAATTCATTGAGAAAAATATGAATTCAGCACCAAGGAGAGTCAGTATGGCTACAGTTCCGAAAAAATCAATGTTCATAAAACTGCGGTTCCTCGGTGACAACATCAGCGAAATAATGACACTGCGAGCACCTGAAGAATGCAGCTAAAAGAGCAGAGGTACGTTGCCTCTTCACAACCACCCCTATTCTACAACGTTCAAGAAATAAGAATAAACTACCTAAATTTGCATCCTCCTATATGTGAATATACCAGTTTGACTGCGGCTACTGAGCCAGCTACATCGGGAGGCGTACAATTAAGCAGGTTCATCATCGTATTTCCGAACATCATCCTGCATACCAGTTACGCTAGGGACAAACAAGATCTATTCATAGCTCTATTTTAGCACACCTTGTAGACAGTGAGCATAAGGGGGACGTTAATACTGCATTTAAAATTATTTATTGCATTCCTAATAATCTTAATTTTGTTCTACGAGTTCGTCTTCTGCAGACAGCTGAAGCAATAGGAATCCACGTGAAGAAGAAGCCAAACCTGTGTGTGTTAAGAAGAAATTTCTACAGCCACTTTCCTTACCTTCCTTGGCCATCGTTACATGAATGTATAAACCGGACTACTTCGCCCCCTCCTCCTAAACCTTTAAAATTATAAAAATTATAATTGTCCAAATTATTTTATCTTTTCTGACCACTTAATCTTTAATTATGTGTTATCCTTGTAAAATTAATTTATTCTAAACATTTCTACCTTATAAATGTGTATTGATTTTGTCGTCAAGATTCGATAGAATAGTTCTAAAATATTTGGGCATTTGTAAAAAATTATATTTGTAAAGTCTCACCGAGAGTCATATGAGTAATTCCAAAATTTCCTGCGTTCGTCGGAATCTAGTCTGAACTTCTTCAGGAAAATTAATCGAAATCAACACAACTGAGGTTTATATGCAGAAAAAATGGGACATCTCTTGTTTTTAAAAACTTTATCCAGTCATATGAGTCATGAAACAGGTATCAACATGTTGTATGATAAAGAAAATTTTATGAGCTGTGATCAAAATTTGACCTCGGACTTACAAATATTGGTCCACCTTTGTTAAACACTTTAAACACAGTGTGCATGCGTGTATGGGTAAATAGTTGTAAAACATTTCTTAACGTCTTCATAAGAAGATATAGACAGTCGGGAACTTTGATCAAGTATTATTAATTAATTAGTGATACATATCCATTTTTTATTTATTAATCAGGATTTCCTATGCATCAGCTAACATCACACCACACCTTCTTGTCTGTTCAAACTGTTAGTATCTAGAATTTTATGATTTAGACGTATTTTCAAAATTATGGTGTTTAGGATTAGAGTTTAGTTGAAGCACCCTGTCAAACTTATTACTTTGTCTTCTTTCTGAAAATTGAGCTGATTTATTCGACCTACTGGAGTTGTCAGGTGACTCAAAAGCTACAGATTTAGGATACGCATTCTGTTGTAGACAACGGAGAGTGGAAACACGATGATTGTGCCAATTACATAGTTTCTATGTTAATTTAATCTTTTTATATTTAATATTAATACTTTAGAACTATTCTGTCAAATCTTGACTACAGTTCATTTGATTTATTTTGCAATCGAATTAAATTAACAAAGAAACTATATGTAATTGGTACAATCATCGGGTTTTCACTCTCCGTTGTCTGCAACAGAATAATGCATATCCTAAATCCGTAGCTGTCGAGTCACCTGACAACTCCAGTAGGTCGAATAAAGCAGCTTGTAATTATTTGTAATAGTAGTATTTGTATTCCACAATGACTGAATTAAAGGAAATCAACCAACAACACAAAGAGGGATGAATTTAGGAATTTCTATTTGGCGGGATTATATTTCAATTCATATAAGAAATATGTTAACAAATAACAGTAAGTATTTAAACAATACAGAGGTAGAAATTTTCAATCACCACACAGCTCAGTCTTCAGAAAGAAGACAAAGCAATACGTTCGACAGGGTGCTCTTCAACTAAACTGTAATCCTAAATACCATAATTTTGAGAAAATAGGTCTAATCATAAAATTCTAGTGTTTAACAAAGGTAGACCAATATTTGTAAGTCCGAGGTCAAATTTTGATCACAGCTCATAAAATTTTCTTTATCATACAACATGTTGATACCTGTTTCATGACTCATATGACTGGACAAAGTTTTTAAAAACAAGAGATGTCCCTTTTTTCTGCATATAAACCTCAGTTATGTTAATTTCGATTAATTTTCCTGAAGAAGTTCAGACTAGATTCCGACGAACGCAGGAAATGTTGGAATTACTCATATGACTCTCGGTGAGACTTTACAAATATAATTTTTTACAAATGTATATTGATTTCCTTCGTTAATTATCACCCCACTGCTTGACATGTTGACACTGACTGACTAATTATTGTTAACAAACATATCGGGTAAATTGTCGCGTATTGTAATAAAAATGCTATACGTGTATATAAGAGTAGAGTAGAACCTGAGTGAGATGAGGATTTAATTGAAAAGTAAACATTTCTTCGCTGTTCAATCTTTCTGTTTTCTAAATAAGGACGACTATTCTAGAATATTCTATGTATATGAACATGCATATATATATATATATATATATATATATATATATATATATATAATTGTAGAGCCAGAAGAGGAGGAAATTATCCAAAAGGATATTCTTTCCTGGCTCAATTATTTTGTGATAAATTTTCATCTTATTTCACTTAATGTTATCATTTTCTAACATTTTATCTATCCCACTATTATTATTATTATTTGACAAGATTTCACTCATTCCCTGTCTTCAGAGTGGAAGATATGCAAGTGAAAAGCAACAAGTTGACAGAAGAAGCATTCAGAGAAGATAGAACTCCAGGTAAACATAGAGAAAACAGAGGTGATGAAGATTCCTGGCCACCACCAACAACAACAGCAACAACAACAAACACGGACAACAATCAGCCAGCAGAAATGGGAGGAACCTGAAAGAAACAACCTCCTTTACCTACCCACCTAACTGGGAAGCATCGTTCCAACTACAGGCGGGCGGAACTGACGAGGATATCAAGGCAGCGAGGATCGGAAAAGCAAGACAAGCTTTCACTACTCTCAAGTCTGTGTGGAGGAGATGAACAGGACTCAGCATGAAAATGAAAATAAGATCCGGATTTTCAACTCCAATGTGAAGTCAGTCAGTGCTACTCACTATACGGATCAGAGACTTGGCCAGTGCGTCATAAAGAGCACCTCAAACAAACTACAGACCTTCATCAACAGCTGTCTTCGCTCAATACCCAGCTCAAGATCTGATGGCCGGCCGGCCAGAAGAGATCAGCAACAGGGACTAACACAGCAGGAACCGATTGTTCAACAAAATGGCAGGAAGAAATGGAGGTTGACTGGCTGGCCATACTCTGAGACAACAAACCATCAAGCGACATCACACGACAGGCCATCGGTCGAGTGGAACTCAGCCGAAAAGGAAGCGGCGAGTTGGTTATCAGTGAGAGCGTGACTTGGAGGAGCAGGTCATGCGAAGAGGAGATGAAAGCGTGTGGGCAGATTTGGAGTCAGGTGAAAACTCTAGGAGAGAACTGAACGCAATGGAGACGTGCAGTTGAAGCCCTATGTTCCTCTAGGAATTAAAGGAAATACTAATATAAGATTTAATTTGCAAAATATATATACGCTTCATCTCTTACGTGATATCTACATTTTCATGTAATCCAAATGCTTGCGGTGAATCATACAATGGGATTTCATTAATAGCCTCAAGAAATTCATTGATTTTCTGTACTCGAGGGATTGTATAGCATTGGGCAAATTTGAAATCTGGATTGAACAAACCTTCATTGAACCATAACTTGCAGTAAGTGTTCAATAGTCGATTGTCGAAGTCATCAGTTACTCGACCACCATATTGGATTTCTCCAAGCATATAAGTAACACATTTCCAATCGATTCCCTGTGTGTGTTTTAAATAATGAAGGATACCATTTATAACATTTGTGCGCGCACACACACAAACAAATAGGTGAACAAGCATCGTTTATTTCAAAAATGCGTATCCTGGAAAACCCTAAGTGCTCAGAAAAGATTATTAATATTATTAGCAGTAGTGTGGTAAGATCTGGATGCTAGCCAAATTCGTAGACAGTAATTTACATCAATGTTTACGTCCCAAATGCTGGTCTGTGAAAAAAAAACAAGAACAAAGACTGACTGACTCAGCAACCAATCACAGCACACTTTGTTTGCGTAAGCGGATACAATTAGCAGATAGATGATGATGTGACCTTCAAGAAGCAGCCACAAAGAGATCAACTTTCTGTGGAAAACAACCAATCAGAAGAGTGTGTTTGTCTGCTAACAATAATCAATAATAATGTACATAAAAATCTATAAATATGTGTTGATTTCCTTAATAAACGATCTGTTGACTGGCCCTTGTCTTCTGTTGTTACAGTAGTAGTTCTATTATTATCAATACCAACATCACATGTCATCGATAGGAAGCGACGATTGGGTCGTCAGTGCGAGAGGGACATATAGGAGATGAGAGATTATGGGCAGTCGTGGGCTCAGCTGAAGAGGAGAATAGAAAATGGAACAAAGTGGAGATATGTTGTTGAAGCCAGCCTTATGTTCCACTCGGAACCCACGGGAATGATAATAATAATAATAATAATTCGGGATGGAGCACCTTCATTCCAACCAGACTTCTGCTATCACTTTCAACTGGCTAACACTTTACAACTGCACATAAGCTATTTAACTGCCTTTTCACAAGATCTCCCCGTGTCACCTTCAGACACCCAACTCACCATTTCACGTTCAGATTTCATTCTAAAGGCTCGTGTATGATGTCATTTAAAAGTCTTTTCAGCCGGTCCATGCGGTTATTTATGATTTCCTTCCATGTATATTTGTTGGGTAATAGATTTTCGGACGCTAGAATTCTTTGTTGATCGTCTTCTGGGGTCGGTTATCCGATCTTGAGTATCGAATGAAGACAGATGTTGGTGAAGATCTCCAAAAGATTGTTGGAAATGCTTTCGCTGACATGGTATTAATTTTTTTTCTTCTTTTACGTCCCCAGTGGAAAATAGGGCTTCAAGCTAGTGGTTTGAAGTTTCTGTAGCAGTGTTTATTTTACAGGATGGAGTTGCTAGTCCCATGTCCAACCTTTCCTCTTTACCAGGATTATTTCTAGCATAGCGAGGTAAGGGAGTGCGTTGGTGGCTGGGGATCGAACCCCTGACCATGTACATGGTCGGCGAGCATACTAACCGTTATGCCACCGACTGGTATTACTTTCGGTATTACCTTATTTACATACAAAGGACATTCCTTATTAGTTTGTTTATTAGACGCATCACACAGTCAGTGAAACAGTATTATTGCATACTGGATGACACAGTTTCGAACAAAATTTATTGCAGTTCATAATCATTTCATCAATTATAATTAATAAAAATGGGATTGGTGAAATTTTTAAGTGACAACAGGGTACAAAAACTAAGTAGTACCAAGGAAAATCTAAGACAGGAAGTAAGACATATAAGAGAAACCTTGAAACTTAATAATCACTGTGATAAATTAGTCAGGAAATATGTAGGGAAATGTAAAAATAAAATAAATAATGACAGTAGTGATAGTGATAATAATCATAATAATATTAATGGCTACATACAATTCATATATGCGCAAGACAACAGCAACAATAAGGAATCTAAATCATCACTAGTAGTTCCATAAAAAGAAGGAACCTAGAAAACCGCCATACAGGAATAAAATTAACTGGCATTCAAACCAATCACAAACTCAATTAGAAACACGCTTTGTCGTTTTAAGGATCATACCTGTGGAGCCTTTAAAACAAAATAATTTGGTTTATTTAATACTCTATCTGCTGGAATGATTGTCAGGTAAAATACATAGGTCAGAGTAGTAGAACAGGATCAGTCAGTCAGATTAGCCGGACATAAAAACCTAGCAGCTAGATCTAGATTGGTTGACCCGAATAAGATAGAAAATCTAGAGAATAATTCAGCTACCGCAAACACTACATGACATGCAATTACCCACAACCATACAACAGGCTGGATGGGATAGGATGACAGTTTTAAAATCGAATGTCACAGCAGGGTGGAGAGAGGGAGAGACTAATAACAGAAGCTTTTTCTATCGAATGATTCAACACCTGTCCACCCAGATATCTGGAAAATCCTTCTACCCCAACGATGACAAATGGGAGAGGAGAAAGAAAACTATAAAACTCAAGTTTTGATGCAATGATCATGAACAACAATAAATTTTGTTCGAAACTGTGTCATCCAGTATGCAATAATACTGTTTCACTGACTGTGTGATATTTATTTTATTTTAATTTTTTGATTACAGCTTGATTCCACACTGTATTTTTGGTACAAGTATGGAATTTTCAGCGTGGATATCGGTAGCCCGAAATTCGCAGGCCGACCACAGATATCAGGTGTGCGTCAGCAGAGGATCGAACCTCGGACCATGTGCATGGTCGGCGAGAGTCCTAACCACTGTGCCACCGACGCACATCCAATACATCCAATAAACAAACTAATATGGAATTACTTACTACCACCACAGTGCCCACGTTCTACACATATATTAATTAATACAAAGGACATTTTTAGAAGAAACCATAAGAACTGTGTCTATATTTTACCCACTTAGGGGAATGATGTAAATATACTTAGGCATACAAAAGTCACTCATAAAACTTTTAAATACGACTATTGTTCCAGTTATTCCCATTGGATTCTCAGTGGATCGTTCTGGCTTCAACAGAACACCTTCAGTTTGACTTCTTCACTTCAAGTTCTCTTCTTCTGGCCATACGATCTCCCATAAACTCTAATCTCCTCCAATTATGATCTCCTCCACGTTACTGTCGGACCAACGGCCAACATATCGATTCTCATTCGAGTGGTTCGATGTGTCGAGAATACAAATTAATTATAATAAAGGCCTTTCGTATTTCCCAATGAATGAAAATGAACAAAACGATATTGTCGTTGCTCTTAGTGACTGACGTTTCGCTATTTAATGCTGCTGCTAATAGCTTTATCAAAGCAGTATTATTAAACCAGAAGAATTTACAAAATCCACTGAGCTTATATGTGACAAAGAGTTAAGAGGTGGGTGAGAAAATAGACTTAGGTCAAGTTAAAAGGAGGACATATTCAAGGTCAAAATAACAATGAAGATCAATCACTAAACCAAATAACAAAGGTAATAGTACATCTGCCCTGGCTCGTATCAAAACAAAGTTAACTAACTTGATAATCGTTCGTCTGTCTGGAGGCATTTTTCGTTGTCGAGTTGGCGAATTGGTGAAGACAACAAAACCAAGTGTAGATTGTTAGATTTGATCAGTGTGTAGAATTATGAAAGTAGTGTGCGTTTACATATTGAACTTGCTTATCACATTTGTGTTGATTTTGCTACTTCATAGGGGAGGGGGTTGTTGTAGCCAGGTCAGATTCTGTTTTAGTCCATCATTCCTATTCATTTCAGACAATTTGGATCCCACTTGATATGAAGTACTTCTGATATTAGCCGTTCTTTGTGATTTCTGAAATGCTTTTTCTGGATTATTTCAATATTGTCAGAATCAATTTTGTGGTCTGATTCTATAGCGTGTAGACCCATGGCTGATGAATTTTCAAGCTTTTGTAGTTCCACTGGATTTCTCGGTGGTCGAATAGATTCTCTGCGGTGTCAATTTCTTCTGATTGCCTTGATTTCTCTCTAACGATGTTTGCCTGATGTATATCGCATCACATTCCAAGCAAGTGTTTTATTTTATTGACACAATTAGATAGAGAATCCTTAGGGATTTGTTCCTTTATATGGACAAGGTTATTTCGCAGTGTGTCTGATATTTTGAAGAAAACTCTAATGTTGAGGTGACTGAGTACTCTTCTGATATCGTCTGACATCTCTGCTCTATATGGAATGATGACTGTTGAGGTCCATGTTTTCGGAATGCAATTTTGACCATACTTAATGTCAGTGTTGGTTTTGTTGACGAAATTCCCTGGGTAGTTGTTTTTGCTTGAGGAGAGTTTCAGTAATGTTTGATATTACTTCTTCCACTTGTTCTTTCTCATCCGTTAACATTAGAGAGTGTGCTCGTCTAAGAAGACTTGAAACAACTGACATGTTTGCACTGATGGGGTTGTGATGATCCGAAGTCTAGATATTTATTGGAGTGAGTGATGAGATTTTGTAAATTCTTCTGGTTTAATAATACTCCTCCTTTGATAAAGCTATTAACAGCAGCATTAAATAGCGAAACGTCAGTCACTAAGAGCAACGACAATATCGTTTTGTTCATTTTCATTCATTGGGAAATACAAAAACAACCTTTGTTATAATGAATATCATATTCCACCCAATGCCCAAACTGTTTCTTCAAACTATTAAAAGTGAACATGGTTTGGACATATACAGTAGAAAACTTTTATTAATTAATCAGAGACTAACGCATAGTTATGTGAATCAAATTCATCATAGATGTACTAATGGACTTAACCCTAACTCACTTCAGAGACACAGGGATTGACTTGCTCCCAAGGAATAATTTCGTTGACTTCGAATATGCAGACGATATACTCCTTCTAGGCGAGAATGCTGACAAAATGTAGAGGTTTCTGAACACATTGAGCTGCAATCTACGAATGTTCGGCATCCGATTCACTCCCGTCAAATGTGAGATGATGGAACATCACTGAATAGATTACATTGAATCCTAGTTTAGAAATAGGAAGTGAAATGGTAGGTGGAGCGCATTGACGACTTCACTTATTTGAGAAGGTGCATCGCTGATGAAATCTCAGCTGAGTATGCATACAGAGGGCTAGTTTCTCATATACCGGCCAGTTTACGCCGTCTCTGGCTTAGTAGATGTGATATCCGGCTGGC